CATTTGAATGAAAAGCAGCATAGAAATATAAAAAAACCAAATCAATAGTGAGCCTCACGGCTGAGGAGGAGATATGAATCTGAATCCTGCACTGGCAAATTACAGGGCCCTGGTCCCCGAGTACTGGACACACAGCAACAGTAATTTTGTACACATAGAGTTAGGCAATTTTTAAAAGCTGGATCATTGTAAACTAATTAGAATTCCTACAATTATTTTTAAAGGTAGTGCTTTTAAAGGACTTAAAAAAAATTAAACTCAGCTACCAGGCATATAGTTATTTTTTGCTACTATTTCCTAAAGAGCCACGATATTTTAAAAAGTTGTACATCAGTGCTATAGACAATTGTCCTTCATTGCTTTGAGAAAGGTCTGTGGTGCTTTTAATCATCTAATATGCTCCACTGCAGGAGAACACCCTGGAAATGGGGAAATGCATATATATATATATATATGCCTGTCCCCATTTCCAGGGTGTATATATATATATGTTGCTGCATGTGCTATGTGCGTATGCATTGGGTGTCAACTGAGTTACATTTCTCCCCAAGGTGTCATGGGTACTTGTCTTGCCAAATTTGATAGAACTGACAAGTGTTTTCATGTAAGAGTGGGGAAAGGGGAGGGCAATGTATAACTCCCCATCACCTTGTCAAGCTGAGTGAAGGCAAACTCCAGCGTATTCCTTCACAAGTGATGAGGTGTTCCGGAGTCATTAAAAGTCATAAAGTTAGACTGCAACTATGCGCCATGCATACGAGATGAAGTCAGCCAGGGCTGTCCTCCTTGTAACAGGTGAAGGCTCCTCTTCCGTACCCTTTCAACTCTCAGACTGAACCACGGGATCCGGCTGAGTTGGAGCACTTTCTTTGCAATGCACTTCGGAGATTTCACGAGAGCTGTAAGTGTAACTTTGGCCTGGCTTTCTGCCACCTGTCTCATTAGGCAGGTATCTAAGGGCTTTTTCACACACACACACACACACACACACACACACACAGTCATTCCCCAAATATCTGACACTGCTAGCCTACTGTCATTTATTCCTGCTGCTTCTTCCTTCATAATAACATTAAGTTTCTAACTAACAATGATAAATATCTATGGAGAAAAACTGGTTTCCTCTTGCTTGTGATGGCCTTCTCTTGGTTGTGATGGCCTTCTCTTCTCATTTCTCAAAGTTTTATTTTTGCAGTGATGAAAGGGGCTAACAAAGGCAAAGCATAACTTTCAGAGTGCTCAGGCATTAGTGGGCCATAGTAATGTAGACTTATATGAAGAATAATGCAATCCTGCTCATGTCTGTTCAGAAGTAATAATAATAATAATAATAATAATAATAATAATAATATTTTATTATTTGTTTCCCCAGCCACTCTGTGTGGCTTCCAACAAAGATTAAAAATACATCAAAATAAGTAAGTTGAGTGGGATTTACTCTCAGTTAAGCAGGTGTAGGGTTGCAGTCAAAATGCATCTAGAGTTTGACTTCATTGACTTCACACTGCATGCTTAAAGGCTACGCCTGTTTAACTAATAGCTTCCTATCCAGTATTGCTTGGGAATTCTAGGATACAAACAAACAAAATCAGTGCAGTTTTAAAATTAGGGCAGTTTTGAAAGGTTTATTCTGCCATCTTGTTTTAAAACAGTGTCTGGTTGCATCCAAACACAGGAAAACCTGTTCCTTGATCTCAGGAACCATCATGAAAAGTCTAGTTACAGTCTCTTAAAAGGTTTCCAAATGCCAAACAAACAGGTAAACAACTTTCCTAAAATATATATTAGATTTTTGTACAATGTATTTTTGGCACTTTCTTCACAAATTGATTTAGCAACAGCAATGATGATGGTGATATAGCCATGGATACAAGGATATACAATCCACTGATGTACTACGGGACATAAGAGGTGCCTCATGTTTCACTGCATGAGGTGAGATGGGAAGTGGAACCCTGCTCTTACATGCCATCTGCTGTGCCGTCACTGGCACTGCTGCCACATCTCTCGCCATGCAACTTCCGCTGCTGGGGGAGAAGCAGCACAGGCATCAGTGCCAATTTATGATCTTGCTGAAATATAGTGAAATCTCTTGTGCTCTATGAGATTTCTCCGGAAATTGGTGGCAGAAGTGGCAAGGCACTCACAGGGGCACCACCTCGGGGACTCCCACCAACTGAGATGGCTGCTTCACTCTGCTTCTTGAGTGGGCTGGCCCTGCTAAGGGCTGTTTCTCGTGACATTTGCAATTGCAAGAGACTAATGACTTCTAACTTGTGGCTACCAAGTCGAATGCGTTTAGAGCTAAGGTAGAGAGAAAGCAGTGCACTGCTTTAGAAATCACAAATTGTTTATCTGTCTGCCGGCTTAATTTGCATTAGTAGGGTTTTTTTTAAGCCCTCTTTGTTTAATTTTACAAATTATTAATTTTGTGTCGTGTTAAGGCTGAAAGCAGCAATTCACTGAGTAGATTAAATCAATGTGGTAGTCTTTTGTGCAGCAGTTTTAAAATTTGAAATCAATAAACCACACCATTTGGCACAGTCCTCGGGGCTTTTGGTGCCAGGTTGGAGATTTCCCCTGCATTTTGGAGCAACCATGTGAATTCCAGCTGTTCTCCATCACCTCAGTCATATGGAAGTTATTTGTAGCAGGTTCTCTGTGGTGGCAGAATTGTATGGAGCCTTTAGTCCTTGGAACAAGAAGAAACCTGCTGGATCAAATAGAAGACAAATATAGTCCTGCATCCTGTTCTCAGTGTAGCCAAGCTGATGCCCATGGGAAGGTTGCAAGCTGGACTTGAGCGCAAACTGCATCCTCCCCCCTGTTGATTCCCAGGGTCTGGTATTCAGAAGAATAGTTCTTTTGACAGTGGAGGTGTAACACAGCTACGTATATTATGGATAGTATCTACTGATAGCTTTCTCTTCCATGAATTTGTCTAATCCTCTTTTAAAGCCATCCAAGTTAGTGGTCATTATGCTATCCCAAGGGAGCATATTATTCCGTAGTTTAACTACGTGCTATTTGAAGTACTTTCCTTTGTCTATACTGAGTCATCTGACATTCAGCTTCATTGGACGACCCTGAGAATGAGAGCATAATGAATGATGGTTATTTAATTGAATGTCTGTCTCTGGTAGCTTATCCTGCATCATCATCATCATGCCTGGGTGAGTTTCCAACCTCTTGATGATATCTTAGATCACAGAAAAATATGCGACAAGCATTGACCAAAAAAACCCTTGGCTATGATGGATTGAAAATACTGTGTGAAAAATTGTGTGAAATGTGTGATAGACAACATTGGCACTCTTCTAGAAAAATAGCTTCATTCCCACTTGCCTTTTGAGGCATATGGCACATGTGCATAGTGTCATCATGCATAAACAGGAAATTAAAATAGTAATGCCAGCACAAGTTGTGAATAAGTCAGAACAAATTTAAAAGAAAGTTCCATTTATTCCAGCATGTCTTCCTCCAGTAAGTGTGATTGGGATCATGGTTCAAATCCATGTGAAATCTTGATTCAAAATCAATAGCACGTATAGTCCCTCTGGCAGGGGGTTCAACATCATTGCAAGCTACTTTGTGTTTGCACAAAGTCAGTCCTTGGTCCCCATATCTATTGTGAGGAGGGAGGTGCATGTTGTGTTTCTTGGCAGTCATCATTCCTGAGACAGAGCTGCTTTTATTTATAGGAGGTGCAAAGCCACTGCTTCCCTTGATGCTCTGTTGAAAAATCCAGGCAGCCGTTTATTTTAAGCCACATCCAAGATAACAAAGTGACATTATCAACAGTGCCACCACAGGGCAGCTGCATTTATTTATTTATTCAATGGGCAAAAGTGTTACAGAGATGCAGTGAACCCTCTTGAAAAGCTAGAAGTGCATAAGTGGCCCAATAATAGAATTACATGCAACTGTCTTCTTTGCACACTCTTGGCCCATGGAAGTGCTGCTGACAATACTTTAGTCTCACAGATCTTGACATAACTGCACCAGTGTATATGTCTCTGCTTGCTATAGTTGGTGTTCTATCTGTTTATATTGTACCAGCAGGGGACCATAGTGCAGTTGTAGAGCACATTCATCAAGTGCAGAAGATTCCTTCAGCTGAAGGTCAGAGACCTCCAGGTCCTGGACTACTGTTGCCTGTTAGACAGACAAGTTCTGGGCCAGAAAAACCAAACATCTGATTCAGTGTAAGGCAATTTCACATACTCAATTTGCACATTTAGAAAGTCATTCCTTCATCAGTTCTGCTGCTGCTATGCTAAAGGTAAAGGTAAAGGTAAAGGTACCCCTGACCATTAGGTCCAGTCGCAGACGACTCTGGGGTTGCACACTCATCTTGCTCTATAGGCCGAGGGAGCTAGCATTTGTCCGCAAACAGCTTCCGGGTCATGTGGCCAGCATTACTAAGCTGCTTCTGGTGAACCAAAGCAGTGCACAAAACACTGTTTACCTTCCCGCCACAGCAGTACCTATTTATCTACTTGCACTTGATGTGCTTTTGAACTGCTAGGTGGGCAGGAGCAGGGACCAAGCAACGGGAGCTCACTCCGTCGTGGGGATTCGAACTGCCAACCTTCCGATCGGCAAGCCCTAGGCTCTGTGGTAACGGGAGCTCACTCCGTCGTGGGGATTCAAACTGCCAACCTTCCGATCGGCAAGCCCTAGGCTCTGTGGTTTAGACCACAGCACCACCCACATCTCTGCCATGCTACCAGGGCCTAAATCAAGCTTTGACTAATTACATGTGAACCCAGGTTTGTGGTTTGTCTCACTCCAAACAAACCACAAACTCATTGTTACCAAGTTTTGCTTCCATTCGTGCTTTGTGCAAAATTTTACCCTTGTGCACTAGGCTAATTTCTACACCCTTGTGCGAATTAATGGAAACAAAGCATGTTTTCTATCTTACTCATAATTCTGTCCTCAAAGCAAACACAAAAAGTCAGTTTGATCATTTTTTATGTTTTAATGATGCAATCATTATGTCAGCAGCTACTGTATTGCATCAGATTGTAGAATACTGTCTGATCGCCGTAGTGTATGATGCAATCATTACATCAGCAGTTACAGTATTTCATCAGCTTTTGATTCGACGGCCGTTGGAGATGGATGTGACACCTAGGAAATGTACGAAGATTGTAACTCTGCATGAACACTCAGCTAAGACATATCGAGAGATTGCTTCAGTGGTTGGTGTGAGTTTAGCAACTGTCAGCCGTGTTATCAAGCTGAAGCAGCAAACCGGATCAGTTTCTCCTAAACGTAAAGGAAAGTGTGGTCGTAAGAAGAAAACAACTCCTAGAGATGACGCTTTCTTGCTTTGACAAAGCAAAAAGGATCCCCGCAAGACGAGTGACACATTGAATACGGATTTGAAGGAGAAAGGAATCCAAATCAGTTCCTCTACAGTTTGCAGGCTCCTTATTGCAGTCAGATGAAAAGCCAGAAGACCTGTCAATAAACAGCTTTTAACCAAAAAAATGAAAGAAAAGCGGTATAAATGGGCAAAAAAGTACAAGGAATGGACAGTGGAGAAAAGAATTTGTGGGCTACATGCAAAAGTTGCCTCTGTTCTGTAGACTATACAACTATGGAGAAGCTCATTCAGGCGCTGATTCAAGTGTGGTACAGGGATCCAAAAATCAACAGTGAATGTTTGAAACTTGTAGACTCCATGCCAAACCACGTTCAAATGCTGCTTAAAAATTTGTTGTTGTTTAGTCGTTTAGTCGTGTCCGACTCTTCGTGACCCCATGGACCAGAGCACGCCAGGCACTCCTGTCTTCCACTGCCTCCCGCAGTTTGGTCAGGCTCATGTTTGTAGCTTCGAGAACACTGTCCAACCATCTCGTCCTCTGTCGTCCCCTTCTCCTTGTGCCCTCCATCTTTCCCAACATCAGGGTCTTTTCCAGGCAGTCTTCTTCTCATGAGGTGGCCAAAGTATTGGAGCCTCAGCTTCAGGATCTGTCCTTCCAGTGAGCACTCAGGGCTGATTTCCTTCAGAATGGATAGGTTTGATCTTCTTGCAGTCCATGGGACTCTCAAGAGTCTCCTCCAGCACCATAATTCAAAAGCATCAATTCTTTGGCGATCAGCCTTCTTGATGGTCCAGCTCTCACTTCCATACATCACTACTGGGAAAACCATGGCTTTAACTATACAGACCTTTATTGGCAAGGTGATGTCTCTGCTTTTTAAGATGTTATCTAGGCTTGCCATCGCCTTTCTCCCAAGGAGCAGGCGTCTTTTAGTTTCGTGACTGCTGTCACCATCTGCAGTGATCATGGAGCCCAAAAAAGTAAAATCTCTCACTGCCTCCATTTCTTCCCCTTCTATTTGCCAGGAGGTGATGGGACCAGTGGCCATGATCTTCGTTTTTTTGATGTTGAGCTTCAGACCATATTTGGCGCTCTCCTCTTTCACCCTCATTAAAAGGTTCTTTAATTCATCCTCACTTTCTGCCATCAAGGTTGTGTCATCTGCATATCTGAGGTTGTTGATATTTCTTCCAGCGATCTTAATTCTGGCTTGGGATTCATCCAGTTCAGCCTTTTGCATGATGAATTCTGCATATAAGTTAAATAAGCAGGGAGACAATATACAGCCTTGCCGTACTCCTTTCCCAATTTTGAACCAATCAGTTGTTCCATATCCAGTTCTAACTGTAGCTTCTTGTCCCACATAGAGATTTCTCAGGAGACAGATGAGGTGATCAGGCACTCCCATTTCTTTAAGAACTTGCCATAGTTTGCTGTGGTCGACACAGTCAAAGGCTTTTGCATAGTCAATGAAGCAGAAGTAGATGTCTTTCTGGAACTCTCTAGCTTTCTCCATAATCCAGCGCATTGTTTGCGATTTGGTCTCTGGTTCCTCTGCCTCTTCGAAATCCAGCTTTCACTTCTGGGAGTTCTCGGTCCACATACTGCTTAAGCCTGCCTTGTAGAATTTTAAGCATAACCTTGCTAGCGTGTGAAATGAGTGCAATTATGCGGTAGTTGGAGTATGCTTTGGCACTGCCCTTCTTTGGGATTGGGAAGTAGACTGATCTTCTCCAATCCTCTGGCCACTGCTGAGTTTTCCAAATTTGCTGGCATATTGAGTGTAGCACCTTGACAGCATCATCGTTTAAAATTTTAAATAGTTCAGCTGGAATATCATCACTTCCACTGGCCTTGCTATTAGCAGTGCTTTCTAAGGCCCATTTGACTTCACTCTCCAGGATGTCTGGCTCAAGGTCAGCAACCACACTACCTGGGGTGTCCAAGACATCCATTTCTTTCTGGTATAATTCCTCTGTGTATTCTTACCACCTCTTCTTGATGTCTTCTGCTTCTGTTAGGTCCTTACCACTTTTGTCCTTTATTATGGTAATCTTTGTACGAAATGCTCCTTTCATTTCTCCGATTTTCTTGAACAGATCTCTGGTTTTTCCCATTCTATTGTTTTCCTCTATTTCTTTGCTTAAAAATAGCGGAGGTCATATCTGTTACTAATGTACGTATATGTGAGTTTTGTACATGTACATGTGAGTTTTGTACAATAAACTACTAAATTCATTGTTTGTTTCAATTAATTCACACAAGGCTGTATATGCACCTCTTTATGTCCTCTATCCAGACAAGCAGAGTTCAAGGACACATTCCAGCCAGGCAAAAATATTTGAGGTGTGAGGCAGGACCAGTGAGAAGTGTGGCTTGGGAACACTACTGACCAGATACAGAGGCCTGGAAGGCGACATTCAGCCCCTGGGTCTGAAGTTATCTAGTCTCATTTTAAATAAATAATATTTAGACATACTGCAGTACCAATTTGGAATTTTAGGTCACTTTAAGCAGCAGTGTTGTACTACACATTTCCAAAGCTGTCTTCTGCCATTCTGTGGGACATTGCAAGAGTTCCTAGTGTTACACCTAAGAAGAGATTGCATGCTATAGCACCCCTAAAAATATTAGTACCCCATGAGGCAACTTCAGTGATGTGTATTAGGCCACCCACATTGGTATTAATACAAATATTTGCTTCTGGTGATTCACTTAACTTCATCCAATATTTACCTCTAAGGAATGTTTTCCAGCTTAGACTATGAGCCTTTGCTGTTGATTTAGGAACCAGATTCAATTAGGAGCCCTGCTTAAAAGCAGTCAAGCAGCAGCAGCAGCAGCAGCAGCAGCAGCAAAGCAATAAAGGGGGGAAAGGCTGTAAAGAACGCTTCTGAGAAAAGTGTAAAAAAATACTGTAGAATCACAAGAACAGAATGTACGACATGTAGGCAAGTGGATGTGAAAGTTTAAAAGCCACCCAAAGTCCTTTCTCTTCATGACACTTAAATTGCAAAAGCCATCTGGTCTCGAATTACATTGACCACATAAGGACAGAAGAACCACATAAGGACAGTTTATTTATTTTTGCTGCAGACTAACTGTACAACTGACGGCTCATCCACACTTATATTTGTGCCATGATTCTAAGCACAGGTCCGTGATTGCTAGGCATGGGTCTGAACGTGGGGTGGGGGCTCTTTTGGTCCTACCATTTTCCCCAGGAAAAACTGCTGTTTAATCCTGATCCAATTCATCACGATGGGAAAGAAAATGGTATTTTAAACGGCTGTATCCATTTGTCTGTGGTGGCCCAGGATCTACCAAGGAAAATTCATGGTTCTCATGAAAACATACCTCCAACATTTCTCCGATGAAAAATTGGGATGTCCAAAGGAAAAGTGGGACATTCCATTTGAGAACCAGCCTCTCTTTACCTATCAAACCTTTTTGGGATAATGTACATATTATTGTCACTCCCATCCAGGAATACCAGCAAGATTTCCTGGCCCAGAACACTGTATGTGAGTTGACATCCAACAGCATCAAGACAGCCTCAGGTCTCCCATCCATGGCTTACAGTGTCTGTAACTGTTGTGATTTCACCCAGCTTGAACACTAAAGAACATATGAACTGAAATGATTAAGTGGAGAGCTCATCTCTACTCTATTTCTTACTCATTTAAATAGAAGACTGCTTTCCTCCACCACTATTTTCCCATTTTCCTTTGGTAAAAGGAGCCTGAAGAAGCATCACTTCACGAGTTGCACTCTTCAACAGTGGTGAATGGTGAATTATATCTGAAAACAAAGTTTATCATAATTGGGGCACTTGCAAAGTCTTTTGCTGCTGCTGAATGCTATATGGGCCCAAGAGGTATTGCATGTAGTACAAGAGTAGCAACTCGTAGTCATTAGCAATGTTGGAGGGGGCTGATAGCTATCCTGTCATTAAAAGAATTATTGTAATTTTAGCTGCAGCGTGACAGTCTTTTTAATTTTTTAAAAAAACCTTTGTCGTTGAATGATGAGCAAATCCCATCATGTTTCATTACTGTAAGGGCTGGTGTTCAAAACACTGGACCTTACTGCAGTCTGGTTCATCCTTATCACAGAAGATAGCCAATCCAGGCAACCTATCAAACCCTGCCATAGATTGTTGGATTGATTCCTTTGTTCTTCAAGGTTTTCCATTAATCCCTGCAATCTGAAGACTCTGAGGTTTCCTTTTCCTTATTTTTTTTTTAACATGGCCTTTTGGAAATTTCACATGTGTTAGTAAGTAGCTTCCTAAATAACTTGAGGCTATCTACCCTTTCCCTCTTTGAAGGATCTCTTCAGCCAAGTAGCCCTCATGCAGGACCAACCCAAGACCTTTTGCTGCCTGAGGCAAACCAGAAAATGGCGTCTCCTGCCGTGTCCTGCCATGTCTCACTCCTACAAAACAGCAACAGCAGACATTTGCCTAGCTGGGAGCTGGGGAGGCCCTTTCGTAGCTCTTTGCAGAAGCCTGAGAGGTTTTGGAGATGGAGATGCTGAGTGCCATCCACAAAGGTGGCTACTTCAACGCTCCCCTCTAGTTTTCCACAGAATCTGAACAAGGGGAACAGCATTGTACTGTACCCTCTCCTCCCCAATAATAATAAATAAAGGGCTGGTAGGTGGCTGGACTTCACAGCTCAGATAAAAAACGTTCCACTCTATTACAAACTGAACAGTGCCTATGCCCTCAGGGGAAAAGAAGAAGCAGCCATGAGAGAGGTGGCTGATGGGTTTGTGTGCCTGTTCAGTGGGCTGCAGCTTCCTCTTTGGCGCATTGTGGGTGTTTTTTAAAACAATTTCATGTAATTGCTTAATAGATAATTTCACTTGAATGTTTTAACTTAAAACTTCTAGTGAATCTTATAGTCTTTTTTAAAACAAACAAAAAACAAAAAAAACCCCTTAAAGTTAAATGAGTATCAGCAGGAACGAATCTGGCATTTCCATCAAGCAAGGAAGCCAGC